CCCACAGGAGGAGCTCACGGTGGCAGGAAAACCAGAGGAGGAGGTGACGCTGCAGCTGTGTGGACATTCAAAAGCTCATGTATTTTTTAGAAGTTAAAACAAAATATTAAGAGAGAGTTGAACACACAAACCTCTTCTGGGGACCAAGGCCGTCCGGCCGCCGCCTTCACTGCTTCCTATATTTGTTGACTGGTATATATTTCTAATCTGCCTCTTTGGTTGTTTTTACATTTCAACAGGTGCAGCTCATCCACAGAACAAACTCCTCAACACCAACCAGCCCTACAGGGCTGACGCCCCCTGCTGTGTCTGCAGAGGGGGGAGCCCCCAGGCCTGAGCGTGAAGTCTCAGACGAAGGAAGGAACGTCTTAGCAGTGAACCCAGAGTCAGGCACAGACCCCCCCACCATGAAGCTGTGAGTGACCCCGACACACAACAGGAAGATGGGACATTATACTGACCTACGACAAACGGCTCCAATTTGGCAACGTCTAAATCATCACAAAAGGAGAGGATACGGTTTGTTTTTAGCAGCAGCAGTAACAGCAGCAGTAACAGTAACAGTAGTAACAGTAACAGCAGCAAGAAAGTTTCTCTGTTTAACTTTGTCTCCTTCCAAACAAACCTGAGGAACATAAGAAGTTCTGTGTTTTAGGAACCAGTTGGATTTAAGGCGTATGCACACGGCAGTGCGGCTCAATGAGGTCATCACAGAGAACTCCAAGGAGGCCAAACTGGTGCTGCTCAATATGCCCGGGCCACCAAAGAACCGACTGGGCAATGAGAACTGTATCCTTCATTACTGTGTTCCTGTGGGTTCTGTGTTCTAGATACTGCTGGTCTGGAGAGGTGGTGGAGGCTCAGTACTGTACCATTCTTTAAACTTAGTGTTCATGTTTAAACAGGTCTAAGGATGGACATGGAAATTGTCCGGGGTGCAACTGCGCCCCCACCTGATGACTGCTGGGAGTGAGACTCCCGCAGACTCCTATAAAAATGTTTCTTTTTTGGTGTTTTAACCCTGATGAAATGCATCATGACTTTGAATGTCATGAACTATAATTTCATCCATCAACTTCAGATCATTTCAGATTCACAATGTAGATTCCTTCACTGTGCGCCTCCCTCAGATATGGAGTTCCTGGAGGTGCTGACTGAAGGCCTGAATCGGGTCCTTCTGGTACGAGGAGGAGGGCCGTGAAGTCATCACATCTATTCCTGGAGAGCATTTAAAGATTTTTTTGTTTGTTTGTTTTTTCTGTCTCCTAGTTCAGTCTCTAAGAATACACACAACACAGTCTATGTCCTGGGCTGTGGGAACTGAAAACTGCAGATAAGACTAGGTTTGTTAATAACTTGTACAATATAGAAACAAAGTGTCTCATTTGTAAGAAAAAAGCACCTTTCCTTTTTATTCTTATTCTTTCATTTATGTGTTGATTCATCTATTTCTGTTTGTCTGTATTCTGTCAACTTCTATTATTGACCTGGATTAGAATTGTTGAGGATTTGTATCATCTGAAACTAAACCTTCACCTATACCGTCTAAAACATAACAGTTATATTATAAGGTGATTATAAAGTGCATGTAACCTTTAATCTATATAAAAATAATATTTTGAAAAGTAAATCTAATAAAGTGCATTGATTCAGATTCATGACGATTTGTTGGATGTTTTTATAACCTACACAGATGGACTGGCTGCATTGATTCAGATTCATGACGATTTGTTTGTCACATAAGGGAAGAGATACAGTTCATAGGACGCGAAATTTGCAAACCTACCGTTAGGGGGCAGTGGCGCAGCAAAAATACATGCAAATACTGAAACAACGCACTCAGAAGAAGAAAAGGCAGCGCTAGCGCTACAGGGAAGGAGCGAAGGAGGGCAGATGTTTGTGACGAGGCCGCGAGTTTTTCTTTTACACTAAATATCTTTTTGAATTTTTCATCGTTGTTTTAACCGACTACGACCAGGACTACAGGCGATTCGCTGCTGCATTTTCTCCGTGGACCTGTGACCTTGAAACGTCGTTTCGACCACTGAACACGGTAACTTAGTTTGTTGCTACTGCGGCTAGCTTGTTGCCGCCATATTGGCACTTCGTGGATAACAACGTCCGTTTTCTAATACACATTACTTCTTTAAGTGCATGCGCTGTGACGGGGCGTCCAGTTTGTTTTGCTCCGGTGTTATATTAGTTAATTATCAACGATAAACGAAAAACGAATAGGTTAGGTCATAAAAGGCAGGGTTAAAATTACTTGTTTTAACGTCCTGTGTGGCTAATTAGCATTTAGCTTGGTGGATGTCTCGCGCATGTTTACGCTTTGCGGTGGCCATTACGTGCAGTGGAAATGAATGGACAAGAACTTAAAACATTTTTGAGAATATCTGGTCACATTTTATGTGAAATATGTCAACATTTAATAAACACCTAATGTTCCAACCAATCTCTAAATATATAGATTTAAGATCGTGCGCTGCAGCATTAAGCTATATCCAAATTTCAGCTGGTTACCCGTTGGCCTAAGCCTGTTACGAAAACAGTATTCGTTTGTTTTTCCAATAATAACTCACAAAGTAGTGAATTCATTTTTTATTCCAATTAAAATCTAATACTAAAACTCACGGCTATTAACTATTCTTTATAAACTAATAATAATATTGGTGTTGTGACCAGGGCTGCAACTACAGGCTATTTTGAATGTCAGTTGGTCACAGGTGATTGAAGTAATTGACCAACTAATCTTTTACTTACTAAAAAAATAAAATTATGTAAACGTGTAAAAACTATGTTAATTGTTGATTTTTGTGGACTTATCGTCTCACCGTTGTTTATCATCTTTGTTGTGACATGATTACTGTGCCTTTTGTATGCTACTGCACTGACGCTCTCTCTTCACAGGATCATCATGGCTGACGATTTCGATGTTGAGGCCATGCTGGAGGCTCCATACAGGAAGGTGGGTTCAGGATTACAGAGGCCACGTCTATTTGACTTTTGTGTTTAACTCTGGAACCGATATATCTGCTACAGTGTAAACATTTGCTTGAATGTTTTGTGGTTTGTGATTAAGTATTTAAATCGCAATACAGAATTATAAATAAATCCGCATCTATCTCTCTTTATAGACTCCCCTAATGATATCTCACCTCTACTCCCATGAATTCATCTTTGATTCCACTGTGAACTGTGAAAAAAAAGGAAGGTAGTTATTGTGCATATACTGATGTACTGTGGTTCACCTTAGGACTAAAGAAAATCCACTCTCGACATCCAGTCCCTATTCGGTTGCAGAAAGGTGAATGCCAGTGGTACTTAAGCCCATCTCACTTGTCCAGCAAAGGAGGCAGTATTCAGTGTTCAACTGCAGGCCTTACTGGTTTTAGTTAATGAACATTTCAACCTGTACAAATGTTAGAGACATATTCTAAAAGAAAAGCTTTGACTGAAAGGGAGTTTTGTTGTTTTTTAAGCTTAAATGCTGCATCTATAAATTTATCAAGATTCAGAAACATGTTCTAGTGATACTGAATTCTGTTTATATCAGACTGTCACTTTATTAATTTTCAAAGCTAATGTGGAGCTTACGCTTAAAGTAAAGACACTAGCAGGTTTAAATCATGAATGTAAGACATGATTAAGGCTGGGCGATAACAGTTAGGATGTCAAGACAATCATCAGTAAGAGTTAAAGTGATGAATAATGTGTAATAATGGCACACAGAGAAACTGTCCTTAATATTTAGGCCGCTGCGTCTCCACCTAGCTGCAGGAGTATGTGTTGCATCTACTTTACTTCAAAATAGACACAATTTGAAAACATGACCTTCTCTGTTGTGATGCTACCGTACAGTCAGTCACTTCAAATACAAACAGACGAGCAGTGGAGCAGAAAAACACACGTACATGTATATCTGTGCTCAGTGGACAGTCCAGTCAGTGTGAACTAACTCAACAGGACCACGGCTGGATAATTAAAATAAAATGCACTGAACAACAAAACTAAGTGACAAAAAAACTCCACTGTAGAACGACTAAATTAGTTATACTAAATGTTAGCACTAAGATAATATAAAATATAAATAACTTGACACCTGTCATTCATTTCATTTTCGTATGCCTAATTCACAAATCCTACAAAATATTCACAGATTGACAAATGTATTGATCTGTGGTATCGCCCAGCCCTAGACATGATGACGATTGTGGCTGAAACAGGTGAATGACCTTCTCTGCTCCTAATTGTACGAATACTGCCTCTTTGCCTGTAATATGATGAAGCATCTTGATTTGATTTATTACCTGCATGCCTGACAACATCACAGACTTTACTGCAACTAGACCTTAGAGTAAATACTACTTTTCTAGCAACATTGTGACAGAAGCACTTTGTTTTTTTAGTAGCTAATCATTAAGTGTCAAAGCTACTAGTCTTATTCACTCAGTAAAAGTTAGTGTAATGGAATTTTGACAGGTGGCTGAATTTATGGTTTTTTTTTTCTTTTATTAATTATTTTTTTTTTCACTGGGCGTCAATATTACTAAGAAGTGTGAATCCCTGTTTGCTTCAGGGCAAGATGTGTGACAGAGGTGGCATCGAGCTCTTACAGTCCAAGAACGAAAATGGGTGAAGATCACTGGACTGACATCATCCCCACAGGATCTCTTTATAGTGGCCGTGAGCCAAATGTGGTCACATGATTAGGCAAATAGTGGAAATTGGTATGATGTACAGGAGGGGGAGTGGTAGAGATAACCTGACAAGAACTTCCTGAACTCAGCTAAAATGTTGGACATCCTCTCTGTGCTTTGTTGCATTAAGTACTAAACAGTGGGATGGGGGAGATATTGGGGTGGTGAAAGAGACGGTCGAAATTGACAGTAGAAAATGATTTAAATATTTTTCATTAAATATCTATTCTGCATTTTTCTCTTGTCCCCCACCCTCACCCTTCTTTACCTTGACGACTAAATGTTTCATCTACGTCCTCACGATGTTCTCCTATCAACCTTGCTTAGGATGAGACCAAGTCCTCTCATGCAAACGGTCACGAAGACCAGATCAAGAAGTAAGTCTGATCTTTTACAGCGCCATCTGTTGATGATGTCGAATTCCAGCAACAACAAGAACAACTTTGGGTTTTTTTTTTAATAGGAAAAGGAGGAGTCGAAGCAGGAGTCGGAGCCCAGGCTCAAAGAAGAAAAGAAGCAGAAGTAGAGAACGGAAAAAGGGCAAGAAGAGGAGTCGGAGCCGGGAAAGAAAACCGAGCCGCAACAAAGAGCACCACCGCAGTCGCTCCCGCAGTAGGGAACGTTCTGGCCGCTACAAAGCAAAGAAGAGCCCAGTGTAAGTGTTTCTCAAACCCACACACCAGACATTCAAAATGAATTCATTCATACAGTTCAGTTACCTTCAGAAAAAATATTTATTTTCCACTTTGTTTTTCAGTCGGAAACGTTCCAAAAGCCGAAGCCCCGTCAAAAAAGAAAAGAGTCCTGTCAGGTGTGTACCGAGGCAGGCGTTTGGTTTATTAATGTTTTGGTGGTTCATCTTCTTCTCCTGATTTATTCAGATAATAAACAGATCAGGGCTGATGTGACAATTGTTTGTTTGTTTTTTTTTTCACTTATTGTTTAAGCTGCCGTTGTAGAAATTAATTTCTTAGTAAATTCTTTTGAACTTAATAATTCTCCAAAATACTAAACAACATTTTCATGTCAAATGTCAAGAACAGCTTTAAAGACTGAGCCGCTCGTTTTCCTGGGGCTCCAACAAAATCCCAGCATATTTATGGGCAGACGTTGAATTGTATTTCATCTTTTTCTCTTGAAGGCAACCAATTGACAATCTGACCCCAGAGGAGAGGGACGCCCGCACCGTCTTCTGTATGCAGCTGGCTGCTAGAATCAGAGCCCGAGACCTGGAGGACTTCTTTTCTGCTGTTGGAAAGGTCTGTTATTTTTCCAGGAAGTGTCTGTGAACATGGAGAGTTCAGTGGAGGGGAGAATAATCATGTCTGGTCCCTGCAGGTCAGAGATGTGAGAATCATCTCAGACAGAAACTCCAGGAGGTCAAAGGGCATCGCATACATTGAGTTTGTGGACTCCTCCTCCGTGCCCCTGGCCATCGGTCTCACAGGGCAGAGGCTTTTAGGAGTTCCTATCATCGTACAAGCTTCTCAGGTGAGTCTCTCCACTTCCTGTTGACCCTGTGTGAGTGGCAAAAATGTTGTCGTTCATCAGTTATAGTTTATGATTGTTAGGTTACTGTGATTTGAAATATTCCATTTTTTTATCTCAGGCTGAGAAAAACCGAGCGGCTGCTGCTGCTAATAATTTACAGAAGGGCAGTTTGGGTCCGATGCGACTCTACGTTGGTTCCCTGCATTTTAACATCACAGAGGAAATGCTTCGTGGGATCTTTGAGCCGTTTGGAAAGGTCTGGTCATGAGTTTTCTGAAGCAGAACTTCATGACTCTGTGTTCTACTCTAAGGCCTGTGTCTTTGTTTATCTTTAAAGATCGAGGGAATCCAACTGATGATGGACAGCGAGACCGGACGTTCCAAAGGCTACGGCTTCATATCGGTAACAGGAACCTTGTTTCAATGTTCTGTCTTGGCGATGAGCGACACACAGTGGACAGCCTGTGAACATCACTGTTTGCTTTATGAAGTTTGCAGACGCAGAATGTGCAAAAAAGGCGCTGGAGCAGCTGAACGGCTTTGAGCTGGCTGGACGTCCCATGAAGGTGGGCCACGTGACGGAGCGCTCCGACTCGTCCACGGCCAGTTCCTTTTTAGACAACGATGAACTGGAGAGGACCGGCATTGACCTTGGGACCACCGGACGTTTACAGCTAATGGCTCGACTAGCTGAAGGTTGGTTCTCATCCCACATGAAAGTTATGGGCAAGGCAGAGAAGTATGTGAGGGTGGTGCCTGACAAAGTTTGTCAGGCAGTGGTGAGGTGTGCCTGCAAAACTAACAGATGGGTTTAGGGAAGGGGTGGGGTGACCGTAGCCCCTTCGTGTTTGTTGTGGTAATGACAGATAAGATCAGACAGGAGGCGCTGGGGACCAGAAATGTCCATGTCACGTTGGTGCTGAGAAGAGAGCAGGTGGATGAGATAGTTTGGAAATGTGAATGTTGAAGGTAAAGCATGAAGGCAGGACAAAAGTGGTGAACGTGGAGGTGTTGGGTCAGGGTGGAGACGGGCGATCTTTAATGTTGGTCCCTGGAGAAGAGCAGCATATCAAACAGTTTGTTGTGAACATCAAACTTCCTCTGCCCACAGGAACTGGTCTGAAGATTCCTCCTGCTGCTCAGCAGGCTCTTCAGATGACCGGGGCCATACCTTTTGGGGGCATGGGTTCTCCAGCAGGTGAGGAGTAAAGATGAAGATGTTGCTTTTCTCTGTCTGAGGAGCCACAGGTGTTAACTTTGTTTTTTTTTTTTTTAATTATTATTCTGTGCAGTTCCGACTCCAGCTCCAAATCAGGCTTTGAACCTTCCATCACAGCCACTGGCGACACACTGCCTCCAGCTGTCCAACCTCTTCAACCCACAAGCGTGAGAACAGTTTTCAGCATTTTTTAAAACTGACCTTCACTTCAGATCTTCAGCGCCCCCTACTCTCAACTCATATTTACACACCAGCTCACCAGTACTATAGAGTTTTTCCCTGAAGTGTAACCAGTTTTAACAATGCTCTCTGTCTCGTAGTGAAAACGACCCCAGCTGGGCCACAGAGATCCAGGATGATGTCATCGAAGAGTGCAACAAACACGGAGGAGTCGTTCACATTTATGTGGACAAGAATTCAACACAAGTGAGTAGGAGTTCTGATGAAGTCATCTTCAGGATCACTTTATACCACACAGGTGTATGACTTGTCTGTACACGTGTACTCAGTGATGATGTCACAATACTCACGTAGAAGAAAAGAAAACAACCTTGACAAAACAAAACAACCTAGAATTCTGCTGTAGTCAATCTTGACTTTTTCCACTTGTGTTTTCACAGGGTAATGTGTACGTCAAGTGTCCATCCATACCAGCAGCTATGGCTACAGTGAATGCTCTTCACGGACGCTGGTTTGCAGGTACATCACATCACAACCTGATTTATTTTATATCTCACTGATAAAGTTTGTTTTTTTCCCATGACATTTGTTCATGTTTTGTTTGACTTCTCTCACAGGTAAAATGATCACTGCTGCCTACGTCCCCCTGCCCACCTACCACAACCTTTTCCCTGATTCTGTCACAGCCAAGCAGCTTCTCATGCCGGCCCGTCGATAGTGTGACGACGATGGGAGGAGGTGTAAATACATTTTTTAATTCATGCAGCAGTTACTGTTAAAGATGCATTGACATTTGTTGGCTGTTTGTAACGAAAGCCTCAACCTCAACATGGAAGTTCAGCAGAATTAATAAGCAGGGTTTTTGTTTTTCTGTTTGTGTTTTGTTTCAGTTTCAGACTTTGTAGGTTTGTGTTAAACTGTCGCTCAGACGAACTCAAGTATCTGTTGGTCGGTCGGTCGGTCGGTCGGTATATGACGGTCTGTCTGCTGCTTTTAAGTCTGTGTTGGATTTAAAATGGCAGAGTGTTGGGTTAAAGGACTGAGAAGCCAAACCAACGTTTATGTCTGTTATCCTTTGTACCTTTTTACAGCTAGAACTTCATTTTTGTAAGAAGGTTCCAATAAACTTTGACAAATTGACTTTTCACTTCACATTTGTCTCACATGTTTAAATAAAAGCTTTGATTTAAAGAGTGTTTCTCTGATATCGACTTGTTTTTCACAGATTAACAGTCAATAACAGAAAATAAAGTTCTGTGGTATCTCAGTTCTTGTTTGAAGTCAGGGAGAAACATTTTACCCCATAATCTGACAGTGAATTCTGAGGTCGACGTGTACCACTTCAGTGAGCTAAAATAAAGAATGGAGCTTTGGGGTTTTTGTTTTTTTTCTTTACTTGCCTCAAATTTTCCATATTTCTAATAGCCATTATGTATAACTTGAAAAAGTGTAAGTATAGTAAACAGTTTGAATGCATCCTTTAAAAGAAGCTTATGAAACAAAGTGATGTGTTAATGTCATACAACAACAAAAAATAAAGTCTTATAAATTCCAGTTTTAGAAGAGGCAGTAATGAGATCCACATGTTCCTGAACTGCGTCAGACTCTGATGTGTGAAATCATTTTGATCTTGAATAAATAAACATGCGAACTTTCTGCGGTGTGGCGCGCCCCCACCCGTCATCAACTGGGATTGACTGCAGCGCCCCCTGCAAATGAATAAGCGGTAGATACTGGATGGACGGCCGCAAAATGTGATGTTCTCTAAACGAGAAACGTGTTTAGTAGAAGACAACATAATTCACTGGAGAACACCCCCATTGCTTTATGCAAATGTCATTCAATTGCGTTGATTTGGGATTATCCCTTTGCGTTTGTCTTTTTTGTCCCTAAAGTCTTACCGTAGAGCCTTGAACGAGGATCACCTGACCAGGCTGTGGCCGCTGCCTGTGCTGCTGCTGTTGCGCTGTCAAAGGAGCGTCACCTGACCAGGCTGTGGCCGCTGCCTCTGCCGCTGCGCTGTCAAAGGAACATAAACTGTCAACAACACTGTCCTTGTTGGATTTGTTTTCTAGTAAAATGACCGAGAAAAGTAATAAACATGTGAGTATTTTAGAAGAAACGTTTGACGGTTGTTGGTTTGATGTTGAACAAGCGGCTGGTGGAAACCAGAGCTAAAGAAAGTCAGGTTTACCGCTAGCATGGTTTGGCTAACGTTGCACTTTTGTTAGCATTCTCAGGGGCCGGTGTTCAACGAATATCGAATATAATGTATAACATTCCACGTTACACACGTTTCTCTCCGTTCAGTTACGGTAAACGCGCTGGTTAACCGTATGTCGTCATTCAAGTTTACGTGTTAGAATCTTTTATTCACATGTTTCAGTGTAATATCCTGTTGTCGTGACTTCCACAAACCTTAAACCTGTTTCTTGAACAGTGTCAGTGTTTCTGAATGACGGAGCTCGTTGTTTTCTGACGTTTGAACCAATCACAGTGACTTAAACGTGTGACCAACAGTTACAGCCTGTTTCCTCCTCCAGCGTTCGTAGATTTCCTCCACCGTGATGGGGTTCATGTGTGGTGGGTTTCTCGCCCTGTGACCCTGGGATCGGAGGCAGGATGCTTCCACGTTGCACCCCCCCCTAACAACACAGCTGTATGCGGTCATGGCTTCCAGCCACCCTCCACCGTTCGAGGAGTTGAAGGAAGGCTTTCTCTGTCCACTGTGCCTGAAGGACCTTCAGACCTTCTGCCAACTCAAAGACCACTACGAAGAAGAACACTTTGGGGACGACCGTCACGTCAGGGGTCAGATCAAGAGTGAGTCGACAGATCGGTCTGGATTCTTTCAGGTGTTCTTTTCACCCTCACTTCAGAAACATTTCATTCTAAATTCCATTTTGCTCAGATTTGGTGCAGAAGGCCAAGAAGGCCAAAGACCGGCTCCTGAAGAGGGATGGGGAGGACAGGGGGGAGACTGGCTCCTACGAGTCATTCTACTATGGGGGTGTCGACCCCTACATGTGGGAGCCTCAGGAACTGGGTGAGACGGCCGTCGCGGTTCTAGACCGAAGTGTTTCTTAAATGAATGAGTGAATGAATGGACTCTGGTGTGTTGTGTTTAGGAGCGACTCGGAGTCACCTGAGTCTGTTCAAAAGGCACCGCGCAGCACGGATCGATCATTATGTCATCGAGGTCAACAAGCTGATCATCAGACTGGAGAAGGTCTGTGACCTCAGTCTGTGCTCATGATGTTTTCACCATTTTATTACGTAAATCCCATAATAAGAAGGTTTGTGTTGACGTGACACTCACACAGAGTGACCTTTGACCTTCTCACCGTAGTCACAGTTAACCTGTCGTTGCAGTTGACGTCGTTTGACCGGACAAACTCAGACGTTGCCAAAATCCGAGGTTTGTCTGGACGCGTTGTTACGTCGTCCAACGTCGTAAATTTACGTGGATCATGAATGTGGTTCCATGAACTGACGTGACCTGCTGACTGTGCACTCTGCTCCTCCAGCCATCGAGAAGTCGGTGGTCTCCTGGGTGAACGACTCGGACGTCCCCTTCTGCCCCGACTGTGGAAACAAGTTCAACATTCGGAACAGACGTCACCACTGTCGCCTCTGTGGCTCCATCATGTGTCGGAGGTGCATGGAGTTCGTCCCCTTACCTTTGGCCCGTACGTCATAAAAACACATCTTCATTATCTGTCTGTCACCTGATCAGCCGTGGTCTCTCAAAGACTGCTTTGAAAAACATGTCTGAATTAAAAGTCATTTTGTAATTTTTGGTGTTTTTTTTTATTTGACAGAGAAGCTGATCAACGGGACCCGAGAAGCTCTGTGTGTCCATGGAAGTCCTCCCAGTCACTCCCAGTCTCTGCCAGCAGGGGTCAGCAGCAGTAGCATGGGCTCCAGGCGGGGCAGCATCAGCAGTCTGAGCAGCGTCACGTCCATGCTGGAGGAGAAGGACGACGAGAAGATCCGCTGCTGCCACCACTGCATGGACACCCTGGTGAAGAGGCAGCAGAAGCTGGGCGAGAAGGAGCACACGCCCGCCGTGGTCAAACTGTACGAGGTGAGGACGCGCTCACGTCTTCATCAAACATCAAATGTTGCCGTGCTTTCATTTGTCACTGACCGAACCTGTGGTCCTGACAGAGGCTGAGGCTGTGCATGGAGAAGGTGGACGAGAAGGCTCCGGAATACATCCGGATGGCCGAGTCCCTGAAGTAATCCTCTCTTTAAAATGGACTTTGGAGTCAGACCTGGGACCAGGACCAGGACCAGTTCTACTGGACCACGTGTTGTCCTACAAACCATAATATTGTCGACATTATTTTCAGACCAAATTAATCCGTGATGTCATGATAATATGTCATAATAACGAGGTTCACTCTGTCAAATGAAATACATTTTATTTCTCATGAGTAATTTTTACAATTTTATATATATATATATATATATACACATATACATGGTGTTCATTTTCATTGATCATGTGATCAATAAATGTATTGAGTATGGTCCCAGGCCTGTCTGTAATGATGAAGTCATACCATGTGCCCACAGTGCAGGAGAAACCAGCTACAACCTGGACACAGCTGCTGGACTCAGACTGGAGGTCCATAAGTACTACGAACTGATCGACGCTCTGAGGTACAGCAGCTCACACACACACACACACACACACACACCCTGAATTGGTGATAAAAGATCAATAACTGATCAATGACTGAGGAGATTGATACGGGATCAGGAGAGACTTCAGGCTGAATAAACTGACGTGATTGATACGGGATCAGGAGAGACTTCAGGGTGAATAAACTGACTTTTCTCACAGTAAGAAGATTTTAACACTCGGTTCTAAAGACGATCCACCCCCCCACCCCAAAGTCCTCCAACTGCAGAAGATGATCCGATACTCGGCCACACTCTTTGTTCAGGTACCAACACACACACATCACACACTCATTTGACTCCAAATGTAAACTCACTTCTCTGTTGAAGTTGGTTTGGTTTTGACATATGATATATGGCATAAACAAACCTGATCCTGAATCAGTGTTTAGTTTGACCCAAAATGTAAACTCACGTCACAGTGGGTGGGGTCACAGTGGGTGATGTTTCCACCTTCTGTCTGGTTTCTCCTCCTCTTCTCTCTCTCTTTGCTCCTCAGGAGAAACTCTTGGGTCTCATGTCTTTACCGACCAAAGAGAAATACGAGGAGCTGAAAGAAAAAAGGAAACAAGAACAAGAGAAGAGACTCCAGCAGGAGAGACAGGAGAGACAGGAGAGACAGGTGAGACGGGTGAGACGGGGACCCCGTGTCTCTTCTCTCTCCACCTTTTCAGCTGCTCGTGTTCTAACGTGACCTTCTGAACCTCAGGAGAACCTGAGAAGACGGCCTGTCCCCGTCAGTTCAAACGGTGAGCTGCAGCCCGCCCCGCGGGTGCCCCGTATGACCAAAGCCGGCGGCTGGCTGCCCTCCGCAGACTCAGCTCACACACGCAGCGCCCTGGACGACCCCCTGCTGCAGCAGATCGAGAACATCCAGTCCTTCCTGCGTCAGGCGCGCCAAGCCCAGAGAGTGGACGAGGTGGCGCTGTTGGAGGAGAACCTGCGTCAGCTGCAGGACGAGTACGACCAGCAGCAGACACGCCTGGCCATCGCGCTGTCCCAGAAGCTGGCGGAGGAGGAGAGCGTGCAGCGGGGGGGGTGGAATTCCCAGGAGGACTGGGAAAAAGAGGAGAGCTGGTGCCACGCCGTGGAGAAGTCTCCGGATGTCGGTCTACGAGTCGACGGACAGAAAGAACGAGACGCGGCGGCCGACGACCCGACCTTCAAGGTCCAGTCCAGTCCGTCGTCTGTGAGAGCCGTGTCTGTGGAAACCAGCCAAACGGAATCCCCCCCCAGGCTGAGAAGTCTAGGAGGACACATAACGCCCCCTGGTAGCGAAGGACAGAACAGCTCCTCCTACAACCCCTTCGATGAGGACGACTCCACTCCCACTGAAGACGATCCGTCCAACCCTTTCTCCGAGGACATCATCAGAGAGCAGAAAGACGGAACGGACAGGAAGTCCAACCCCTTTGATGAAGACGAGCCCAGACAGAACCTCCCTGGAAACCCCTTCGGTGAGGACAACGACACCGAGTCTGGAAACCCGTTCGTGGAGACGCCGGGGAGTTCCCCCAAAGTCTCCACCAACCCCTTTGACGGAGACGAGGACGACGAAGCTCAGCCGGATCTGGACCTGATCGAGGAGGAACTGCTGCTGCAGCAGATCGACAACATCAGAGCCTACATCTTCGACGCCAAGCTGAGTGGTCGCCACGACGAGGTGGAGCTGCTGTCGGAGAACCTGAGGGAACTACAGCGCACCCTGCAGGAACAAAAGCAAAAAAAGCACTGATTTTTTTTTTTCTTATTGCATCCGAATTTCTGCTACTAACGACGTCCACGGAGACGAGTTTGTTGAAGCCCACTGCTCCTCCACTGCTCCTCAGGCATGAGGAGGTGGACCCGGGGTCAACTGGACGACCTCGGTTGTTCTGGAGCGGTGACATCACAACTGAAAGTGTGTTCGTCTGGAAACACTTTGACGATGAGACATTTTAGAATTCTGACTTTGACAGGAGACCAGTCAGCAGGGGGCACCCATCAGCTGATGCATCAGAACATGAGACGCCATTTTAATCCATGCTTTCTTACAGTGCAGCCCCTGGACAAACACTGGTACTGCAGCCACGACCGTTTCAGACGGAGGAGCAGGAAGGAGAAATGTAACTGTTCTGGAATGTTCTGCAGTCGGCCTGTTGACCCTGAAGAGCACCCCCTACTGACGTGAACTGTGTTTGTGACTCAGTGTGACTCCAGACAGTGAATGAACACCAGACCGTGTGGATCAGGACTCCCTCCGACTGACCCCGATGTCATGGCAACGCCACTCGAACCCTGCACAGAATTGTCACATTCCTTCACCTGGAGGAAGTTCTGCTTCGTCTTCAGGATCTGCATCAGAGTCACACACACACACACACACTTTAGGTCCATTTGTGTGTCTGTGTCCAGGTCCTGATCTCAGTCAGGCTGCTCTGACACCAGCCGGGCCGCTGACCTGAGGTTGAAGCACCCACAGACACATGCTGGAGTTGATGATGGGACCAGAAGATCCTGAAGACCCAGGTGTCCACCTGTCTATGAACCACACCAGGTCATCTGACCGGTCGTCAATGAGCAGATTAACCAGTAACTAATCTGACATTCAGGTTTGGACTGAGTCCACGTCTCATTACAGGAAATGTCAGAAGAACAAACTCACACACACACACACACACACACACCTCCTCACATCCACAATAATATAATGATTTAACAATTGAATTGTCACATTAAGAGGAAAAACACGTCTTTTCATTTTGCCCTGCTGAGTACTGCAGTACATCTGCAGTTGTACTGCAGTACTGTGGTTCCCAGAACCCAGATTACCTGAGTAATCCGGCTTCCTGTACCTGTCAGACTCAGCAGTGTGATGATCTAATAGATGATGTCACTGTGATGTCACAGCTCGTTGCACAGCGCACACACACGAACCAATCACTAACCAGGACACACTGACGTCCTTTAACCCTTTAACCACAGCACCATTAGCACTACGTCAGTACCAGTATTATGACCCAGCGCCGCTGCTCTCTGACGTCCAACCACGTGACACTAAACGTTCAGTGATGGACGACGTCAGGAGCAGCTTCTCACTGTGTCAACAGCAAATCAACTAACAGGAAAAGTGAGGAGTGAAATGACAAATGTAAAGAAATTCAACTTCACTAATAAAATGTTGTCTTCGTTAACATGTGACCAGACTCTGTCTTCTTTCACTGTCGCAGTACTTGTACCCACTGTATGTAGTACTTGTACCCACTGTATGTACAGGTACAGTGTACCACGTATGTGACAGTGTATGTGACTTTTATTTTGTTTTATTTTAGGAGGTAACGATGCATCAAGAATCGAATACAAACGCGTGACAATTCGCATCGGTTGAAAGAAAAAAATGAATCGCGTATCAAGTTGTACGGAGTAGACCACTTCGTGTTTTTGTTTTTTTATTGACACAAAATGGCGAATCATATCAGCGTATCCAGGCAGTTTTCAGTTGACCGTATCGAACGTCATCTGTCCTCCCAGACCGCCACACCCGAGCCCCATGTGACGCTACCTGCCAATCATATTTGTCTGGTATTTGCCCTCCACTCTTCAGGTTTAGTTTCCGTTGGTCTGTGTCCAGTTGTTGGACTCTGTTCTGTTCTTCTGGAGGGAAAACATTCCTTATGTAATTGCTGGTTTTTTTCCCAGAGTAAAACATTCCCTGCTGGGTTTTGTTCTAATGGTTAATTTCCCCTCAGGTTGCGGCTCGTTGACGCAGGTGACGTCGGAGCAGCTGTGGCTGTATTTGTTGAGGTAAACAAAAACATTTCCAATAAAATACTAACAGATTATTTCAGTGCTGGTTCCACCAATAATCATTTTCTTTATTTCAGCAAACATTCCTCAATGTGGCCCCAACACGCTGTTGTACAATTCACGCAAAACATTTAATAATTCGTTTTCAAATGTTTGTTTTAGTCATTTGACTGCCAGCCTGTAAGTCAAACTTCGAGGTTTAATTTACAACGAACTTCCTGTTTAATGGACGACGGTTGGTTGAATCTTTCAAATTTAAAATGTAGCCATAGTTTTGAATAACAACATTGATCGATAGACGGCGCCTTGTCGTCTTTTTTTCGTTTCGTTTTAGCAACAAAACGACCGTAGACGATTTCACATTCAATTTGGGCGGCAAGTCAAATTAAAAGTGTTGTACGTGCTGTATGGTACACAGCCACCAGAGGGCAGCAAATGACAAGCAAGTCTGAGATGTGGTAGTTACAGGAAAAACATGACTAATAGAATGTAGATCAAATAAATAAATAATCCTAATTTAAAATACAGCACAGTTATTTTTGTACTGATTTATTTTGTATACTTTCAATTTAAAATACAGCACAGTTATTTTTGCACTGATTTATTTTGTATACTTTCACTGCTGAGCTGCGTTCCTTTATGTTGAATCAGGTTTTTATTTAAACCCACCCCCTAAGTCCCCCCCAACATATGAAGAATTTTCAAATATCCTCTGAACTTCCCTTTATTCATTACCAACACTTCCTGTAATCCTAACCATAAAAAAAACAAAGACATTCACGGGCGATGACTTTGACCCGGTTTCTAACTCGTCACAAACCACAGAAGGAATGTGCTGTAGAAGATGACTGAGTGAGTGAGTCACCTCAGAGGTTCAGTGGAGATAATCCTAACAACAAACATCTCCAGTATCTGCTCTTGTACTCTTTGACGTTTCATTCAGTAGGTACTGTATACTGCCTGTCAGTCTTTTCTGTGGGCCTCTTTCTTTCAACAGTACTTCCTGTTCAGACTAATTCCTGGATGAATGGAAGAAAGCCAAAAAGTTCAACACGGTGTGAATTTTAATCCAGCCAGAAAAACCTGAACGTGTCTTCTGTACAATAACTCTGAGGGAGCTGGGACACCTGCACAGGTAACTTCCTGTTGTATATCTGAGTGTTACTACAGGTTTGTCCTGCTGTCCTCACACTGTTCTGACTGGGAACAACTTTAACGTTAATAATGTTTCTTCCTCTCAACAGTTCTTCACCTGCACAATGGACAAAACCATGGTTCTGAGTCACCTACTCCTGGAGACCAGGGGCACGCCAACACTTCTGGGAGGGGAGCCGTTAGCCAGAGTCATAAAAAGTAACAAGTACGTTGTCCAGCCGAGCACCGAGGCTCAGCAGGCAGACACAGAGGTGGACACTCTGGACCGGGCCCTTCACACGGCCCTGTGTGCTGAAGTCAAAGCTGTGCTGCTGACGGGACCAGAAGGTTCTGGAAAAACTACAATTCTGGAGAAGCTCATGGTGGACTGGGCCAGAGGAGACGCGCTCCAGCACTTCTCCTACATTTTCTACTTTGGTCGGTGTGAGCTGAAGGCTCTTAAAGGGCTGGTGTCCCTGGAGACTCTGATTCTGCAGCACTGGACCAATCGGAGCGCTCCTGTCTCTGTGGACGTGCTCCTGCAGGAGCCCGAGAAGGTTCTGTTTGTTTTTGACGACCTCGATCAGTGTGAACTTCAACTGGAACCATCGGCCCACTCCCCCTGCTCTAACCCCGCCCTGGCCATGTCAATGTCCTGCCTGGTGTCCAGTCTGCTCCATGGGTCCGTTCTAAAAGGTTCTGTCAGTTTGGTGTCAGCCAGGTCAGCAGAAGGTCTGAGGTCCGAGTCCTTCAACAGACTGGAGGTGCCGGGCTTTCTGAAGGCCCAGAGACAGGCCTACGTCCACAGGTTTTTCTCCGACTCCACTGCTGGTACCACAGCTTCAGCCCAGATGGAACGGACTCTGGGTTTCCATGAGTTCTGCAGCTCTCCCAGGTTCTGTTGGACCGTTTGTTCTCTTTACCAAACTCTCATGGATGCTGGAGTAGAACTTCCAGAAACTTTGTCCCAGCTCTGTGTCCACATCCTGGTCCAGTTGTTGAAGGAGGTTTCCACGGATCAGACCCACAACAGAGAGCTGGTCCTGGTCCTGGGGAGACTGGCCTCCCACTGCCTTCTGCACCAACATCCACGCTACACCAAAGAAGAACTGTGTTCCGCTGGGTTTTCACCGTTCCTCAGCCAGATTCACGTGTTCATGCCTGTGGACGCCGACCTGGAGTCATGTGACTTCTCCTTCGTTTCACGGCCGATGCAGGAGTTCATTCTGGCTCTTTCTGTCTTCCTGGACAAATCTCCACCAGGGGGCGTGTCAAAGATGCTGGAGGAACACAGAGGTTCTGCGGGGTACCTGGATCTGTTCTTGGCCGGGCTGTCGGAGCCACAGCAGTACCGACCACTGGAGGCGCTGCTGGGGCCCCTCGACCCTGATCCTATCATGGGTTTCAGACGTTGGTTTAAAAGCAGCTCAGAGAAGGTCCTCCAGGGGTATGACAAGGACCAGCAGCTTCACTGCTTCAGGCTCCTGCACCAGGCCCAGAGTGAGACGTTGGTCAGAGAGACCGTCACGGCCTCGGCACGCACCGGCATCGGCCTCGGAGACATGGACCTCCACAGCTGTGTCGCTCTCAGCTACGTGGTCTCGTGTCTCGGAGAGATGAAGCTGCTGAAACTGTACAGAACCAGGGATCTGACGGAGGAGAAGGCCCGAGTCCTGGCTCCGGTCATGAGTCTGTCACGTAAAATCCTGTGAGTCACAGCGAAGGGGAAAGTATCCCGTCTTCGTCTGGTTTCTGTCATCCTCATCACTGGTACTGATGTCTGGTACTGATGTCTGGTACTAATGTCTGGTACTGATGTCTGGTACTGATGTCTGGTACTAATGTCTGGTACTAATGTCTGGTACTAATGTCTGGTACTGATGTCTGGTACTAATGTCTGGTACTAATGTCTGGTACTGATGTCTGGTACTAATGTCTGGTACTAATGTCTGGTACTGATGTCTGGTACTAATGTCTGGTACTAATGTCTGGTACTGTCTCAGGTTGACATACAGCTCTCTGACCACTGGGGCGGTCCGTCATCTGGCCTCAGCTCTGACCACAGGAGTGACCTCAGAACTGGACCTGTCTCACACTGGCCTTGGAGATGAAAAGTTCAAAGTTCTCAGTGATGGACTGAAGAACTGCGCTCTGCTGAAAATAAGGTCAGAGTTAGACCTGAAGATGGGGCCATTGAGCAAGGCACTCATCACTTCCTCTTCCTCTCTTTTTTATTTTTTTCTTTCCTTTTTTTTCTGTTCGTATCTTTCTTCTTCTCTTCCTTCATTTCGTCCTTCTTTGTACTCTTCTATTCTTACTCCCCCCCCTCCACACACACACACACACACACACCAGGTGTAGGAATACGATACCATATGATTCATGATCTCCTCTCTTTGTTAGAACTGTGTCAAACTTTACAGAACGTTTTTAGGCACATACTGCCACCTGCTGTATTAGAGCGTGTAGTGTCATGGTATGACCAGTTTCCTTCCACGATGAGAACAGTCGATTCACGGTGCATCGTTACATCCCTACACCAGGGGTCAGAAAATGGAATTCTTCTAGATGAAATCTGACCCTAAACTCTATTTTTCCAATTTCTGTTCCAATTTTCAGACTCCCATCATGCACCCTGACTGAAGTGGCCTGTGACCACCTGGTAACTATTCTGACCTCTGGTTCCTCTCAGCTGTGTGAGTTGGAACTGATGTTCAACCAGTTTGGAGACCAGGGCTTTGTGAAGCTGTGCAGCGCCCTCCACAGTCCTCACTGTAAACTACAGCTGCTCCAGTACGTACCGTGAGAGGAGGACGTTGACTAAAGTCTCACCTGGTACCAGAGACAGGGAACCAGTCTAACTCCACTGTTGTTTTCCAGGCTCCAAGCTAACAATCTGACGGCCGTGTCCATGGAGTCTCTGTCTGCTGCCCTGAGGTCAGGTCACTCCAGGCTGAGGTCAGTCAACCTGACCCAGAACAGGATCACTGACAGTGGAGTCAGGGCTCTGTGTCAGTCCCTGAGACAACGGTCCTGTCAGCTGAGCAGCCTGAAGTGAGTTCTCCTCCCTGTCGTCCAGTTCCTCACCTGTCACTTCTAATCAAACTGGAACAAGTCTTTGTCCTCGTGAAGTCAAAAGATTTTAGAAAGATTTATGTTAATTGTAAATATTTAAGTTGACTAAAAAAAATTTTTTTTTAACTATTATTTATTAAAATTCTCATTTTAACAATTCAAACTACTAACGATTTACTTTATACTTGGAGAGAGAAAATCTTCCCGGTATTTATTAAAATTCTCATTTTAACAATTTGAACTACTAACGATTTACTTTATAAAATCTTCCCGGCGTCTGTGTTCGGTTTCTTCCACTTCTGGACACAAGTCCCGCCTCCTTGTCAACAAACAAAGCTCTGATTGGTTATCAGGCAGATTTTTTTTTGTCTCGTTTTTATTAATGCACTAACACACAAATTATATTCCATTGCGTCATTTAGCCCTACATCACTTCCTGTTTAGTTTTGGTCTTAGACGAAACGGAAACTATCAATTGTTTTAATGATCTGTGGCAGTTTTTCCACTTGTTTGATGGATTTGATGTTTTTTTATCTTTCTGCTTCTTCGTCTTCGTCTCTCTCTCCAGTCTGTTTGATAACGACCTGACTCACAGCTGCTGCCATGATTTGATGGAGGCCCTGACGTCAGCGAACAGCTCCCTGTTGGAGCTCGATCTTTCATTGAATGATTTAGGCCAAGAGGGGGCGCTGCTGCTCTGCCAAGCACTGACTCATCCTGGATGTGCATTAAAAAAACTGGTGTAAGGGCACACACCGTGACCTTTTGTTTGGAGTACTCGTACTACTTTAAAGTTGAAGTACTACTTTCACATCCATTTCCAAAATGTCTTCTTTCTCTGCAGCTTAAAACGCTGTGAGTTGACCCCCGTGGTGTTTGAGGAACTGGGGTCACTGCTGAGGGGGGGCTCATCCCGACTCTGCAGCTTGGACGTGGGAATAAACAATGTTGGAGACGAGGCGGTCAAACATCTGCTGGCTGCTGTGGCAGATCCACAGTGTCTGCTGGAGGAGCTGGAGTGAGTTTGACCTTCAACCTGTGGTTCACTGACCCACACAGGTCCAGACTGAGACACTGTTGTAGGTAGAACATGAGTAAAAAACATCGGAGTCTGTCTGAAGAACATCCACAGCCTGTGTTCACCTCCAGATTAGATTAGAGCCAGGGTCAGAGGTCAGACCAGATGAACTCTTCTTCTCTGTCCCAGTTTGGAGATGACCGGCCTGACGGACGACTGTCTCGAACACCTGTGCACCGCCATTCAGAGCAGCAGAACCCTGAAGAACCTGGAGCTGAGGAACAACTCTCTGACGGACTCTTCTGTCCCGGCTCTGGTCCAGGTGGTGGAGGACAGCACCAGCATGATGGAGCTGAAGTCAGTATCTGCTGTTGATGATGATGATGATGATGATGATGAGGTTCACTGACCAGTTCAGTTCTGGTCACAGTTTGACTGGAGATCATTGGGTTTGAAACAAACCTAATTGTCCTACAACCGTGAACAAAAACAAGAGTTTGTTTTTTTTTAACCTCTGTTTTTGTTTCAACTCTTTCAGCCTGAAGTACAACGACTTCTCAGAGGACGTGTTCCCCTGTTTGGACAGCTGCGCTAAAGTAAGGTACTGAAGAACCGATGTCACAGTGCTGCAGGAGCAGGAACTTTTTAAATTCAGCGCCGTCGGTCCATTCAAATATGTCAGCGATTTAAGAAGTCCTGTGGTAAACTGGAGCGGACAGGAATGTGTTTGTTATGTCAACAATCAAAACAAGGACAAATATAATCCACAGTATCCTGGTGGAGTATTAGTTATTAACAAGGTCTGAAGCTGAACTTTTCATTGAACTTTCTTTTTACCGCTGTTTTACTTCATCGCTTTCTGTTTTTCTTTATCGTTGACCTCAGGGTCAAATCCCAACGTTAAACCGACATCAGAACAAAACAAACGGTGTTAATGATAAATGGCTTTAACTGAGTGAACTGTCAGCAGAACTGGTGTTGGTGAAGGTCAGGGTTTCTGAACTCTCCCTCCCCCTCTCGCTCCCCCCTCTCTTTCCCGCCCTCTCTCTCTGCTTGTGAATCAGAGAAACTAAAGGTTCTGAAGACCTTGGACTTTGGTGTGAACTTTGAAAGTGTCTTTGCTGACGTTCTGTTTTGCAGATGATTAAAGAAAATCTGAATCAACAGAACAGGTGGTAAAAATGAATCATTACTGCTTCAGTGGTGAAACATTGGCTGCAGTGACCCTGGATCCTCGGAGAGGGTTCGATCCCCAGCCCTAACACTGCTGCACAGGTCACCCTGTGTGTCACTGTTTGCATGTTACCCCGGTTGTCACTGTTTGTCCTCCCCACCCCCCCCACCCCCCTGAGAAGGATGAAGAGTCAGAGGGTGAATGAATCCAGGTTTTTTATTTTCTTGTTCAAAAAATCTTACTGTCCATAAAAATATAAAACTCTTCAGTGTGAAAATACCAAACCCACACCGCTGGCACCTGGTACCGATACAATGTTAGTGTAGAGTCTCCAGCCTCCTGTCCTGACTGACCAATCACAGTGCAGTCTGTCAGTTGACTGAAAAGAAGTTATTTAAAAAGGCAGTCTGTCAGTTGACTGAAAAGAAGTCATTTAAAAAGCACCAGTGGACACCAGTCAACACCGGTGGACACCAGTCAACACCAGTGGACACCAGTCGACACTAGTGGACACCAATGGACACCAGTGGACACTAGTGGACACCAGTGGACACCAGTGGACACCAGTGATGATCGATGACTCAGCGACTTCAGAAACAAACATCAGATCAGAACTCTTTTCTTTCAAATGAACTTTTTAAGATGTGAACTTTGAACAAGGAGAAAAATATACAAGCAGTACTGAGCAGAAGTACCAGGGAGGAATAGACCTCACCCAGCCCCCCCCCCCCCCCCCCAACCCCCCCGACCGCCCTGCCCGCACCCAACAAAAATCCCTCTGCTGTCGGGG